GGCATGAAACTCCAATTCAAGGAGACAGAGTGCGAGGAGTGTGCAAGCTTCCCTGTGTTGAGACTATGAAGCTTATTTTATATGCAGGGTGTGATGTAAATGCAGAAAACAACGAGGGAAACACTCCTCTCCATCTAGCAGTAAAGTATAAGCCAGAGCCGGAGGAAGTCGAGATTTTGAGAGAAACGTTGCTGTTGTTGTTAGATATCGGTGCAGACCCAGAGGTAGAAGACATAAATGGTCAAACACCACTGGACAGCTGTGAAACTGACGAGGCTCGTAAGATCCTGTCCGAGAAAAGAGGACTGAGTGTCATGAACGTCGACGTCGGAGATGTAAGAAAGTTTGAATGTTTACCTATTACAATTTTCTAGAATAATTTCTGTCACCTCACCCGGTGTTGTGTTTATTATATTACGTCACGCTATTGTATGTCCGTCTCTATCTGAACTCCTGGAACAGGTTTACAAAGGCGTCTCTTTTCGAATGAAACACTGATTTATCGCAAGCGGCTGTTATAGCCAAAAACGGTTGTTTGAAAGCGACATGAACAGAAGGCTGTCAGAGGAAGCTACGGTGCAAGCAAGCGTCAATTGTTAGTTACTGACATAAGAACTGTTATGAACCGTTCGATTTATGTTTGCATAAAAGAATTCAAAGTATCTCAAATAGAAAGTTCGAAGGGCAAATTAAACCGAGAGGCGTAAGGATAATACTATCAATTGTTGACGATCTTTCGAAGTAACAGGTAAAACAGGAAGAGCACCTATATATACATTTTTGTGAATCTCTTTCGCCGTAGGACCGTTCAGGGACAGCATTTGTTCTCAGTCAATAATTTGTCAGCATGTGTTCAAAACGACGTGTTTCCTTGTAATACGACTAGTTAGGAAAATAAACCCGAATACGGCCTAAAAGCTGATGGAATTTTTCCGTCACATGAAACTTACTCTCTATCGTGTTTAGTTAGCACTTCTTATACCTTGAAAATTTTTTTAAAAAAGCTTGAAACCTCATCAGTCATAGTATTTAAAAAATTATATCTATTTAAGAGCTGCAATTGCCAGGTGAAAGAGAGGGGGAAAGAGCATTTCACCACTTCTTAATTTTTTCCCTCGCCGTCTCCTCGCGATGTTTTGCCTCCTTCCAGCGAATAAAGCGCCAGTTTTCAGGCAACATACGTGGCTTTCTCGTTACGGATCCATGATAGATCGTGGTTTTGAATACAAAAACGTTAAGATGGTTTGGGGTATCGTACTAATTAGCTTTGGTAACTTCTAAGTGGATATGTCTTTTTGATTTTCACAAAGGCTGGAAAAATGGGAAGTGGAACTGGTAAGAGAAGAGGAGAAAGATTTGTTCCTGGAACAGAAAATGACCTAAATGAAAACATCTCGAAAAAGACTGAAACAAAGGAAATATCAGGTAAGAGAATCTAACGAAGGGAACAATTTGTTGAGGCGAATAATTGTACCCTGGATCATTGAACTTTACTGATGTGCCGTTAGGTGCCATTTGATGTGATAAAAGAGACGGAATTTAAATTGAGGGATTGGATGCTAATGACCCGATGTGGCGACCCTCCTTATCGTTCAAGGGGGGTAAAGAATAAATAGATAATGTATTTGGACTATTATCAGAGTTAGAAGTAATATGTATGAACAAAAAAAATTAAACAAAAACACCGATCAAAAGAGATTTAATTTGTATTGGTAATTTAAAGAAATATATTAAAATAAGGCAAGCCCATGTGTGTAACCAAGAGAACAACAAGGGAGGAGACTGAATACCCTATATGGAAGTAAAAATTTAAACATTCAAGCAACACACGAGGTACATTATTATCTTAAGATCAGATACCTTAGGTCTAAAATTAAGATAAATTAATTTATATTGAAAGAAATTCTCCCTAGAATGAGGCAACTATAGAAGATTCAGTCTGTCTATCCTCTCCAGATATTACACTAAGCGTGAGACCAAAGAAAATTGTCTCTTTTAAGTGTGAGACAAAAAGCCGAAAATGGCGTACCTCTATCTTTATTTCTTTAAGGACAAATGAGGGAGCTGAGACGGCAGTTGGAAAATGTCCAAGAGCAACTAAGACAGAGAGACGGACAACTGAGGGAAGCGACACAACAACTGACAAATGTTCAAGGGCAACTACAAGAGAGAGATGGAGAATTAAGGCAGATGACACAACAGTTTACAAATGTTCAAGGGCAACTACAGGAGAGAGATGGACAAATGAGGCAGATGACACAACAGTTTACAAAGGTTCAAGGGCAACTGGGAGAGTTGACTCAACAGTTGACAGATTCTCAAAGACAGCTGCAAGAAAAAGATGAAGAAAATACCACCATGGGGGAACAACTGAGGGAAAAAGAACAGGAAGTGAATGAACTGGAAATATCTCTTTCGACAGCTCAACAAGCGTTAAGTGAACGTCCGCGCCAACAGTCACCTGACTGGGTCATTTCACGTGATCAAATTCAGCTGACAGAGAAATGCATTGGTAAAGGAGGCTGGGGAAGTGTTGTCGAAGGCAAGTATTGTGGCTGCACTGTTGCCGTGAAACAAATTTACGAGGTGCTTCTGAACCTCTCCTCTCATAACAGAGAAATGTTTGAGCGGGAAATGAGCATTGCTTCAAAATGCCGCCATCCTTGTTTGCTGCAATTCATCGGAGCAACAAACGATGAAGGAAGTCCTTTGTTCGTGACAGAGCTCATGGAAACGAGTTTGCGAAAATTGCTGGAGCAGCGATCACTTTCTACAGCTGAAGTGGCCGTTATTTCTCTTGATGTGGCTCGTGCATTGAATTACCTGCACCAAAAGAAACCACGCCCCATCATCCACCGCGATATCAGCAGCGCCAATGTGTTGCTATGGCGACAAGCGGACCACTGGCGAGGCAAAGTGTCGGATTATGGTGCTGCTAACGTCATGCAACATACCTTGTCAGTTTGTCCAGGTGCTGCGGTATACAGTGCTCCTGAAGCACTTACTAAAAATCAGACTGTGAAGGTATGTCGTCTGCTAAACTTAATCTTTAAACAAGACGCCTATTCACAGGCTAATGTAGAATATTAAATCCCTGCGAGATACCGAAGGAGAAAGACCCAACGGCTAATATAATGCATTTTATGGCTGTGAAAAAGTAGAGAAAAGTGCTGAGTAAGCCCCCCCCCCCTCCCCCGGTAGACAGTCTAGACCAATAGTTAGACCGAAGATGTGAGTAGTTAGGTAAACAGAGAAAGATTTTAGTGGTCGAGTTCCGTCGTCGAGTGCTGGGTGGAATAGAGAATGGTTTATAAAAGATTCATTTGCGGTTTTACAACAGTCTGAGTCCTCTTTAGGAATAAGACCTACGTCCTAGGATTACTAACTTTGAAAGTGTTTTGTGTGTACAAGGAGTCAAATGATACAGTACAAGGTGATAAGTAGCCTGAGTATCAGGCGTTTCTGGGGAAAAGGGGAAAAATGGAAGCGAAAAAGGGAGAGAGGTTAAAATCTCCTTTCCCCTAGCCCCGTAGGAAGGCCTGATACTCAGGCTAGGTGATAAGTGGGTGTTACGAAAGCTAAGACCCTCGAAAACTAAGATGTAAGACCTAAGACCCCCTAAAATCGAATCTAAGACCCCTCTTAGTTTTCGTTATTAAGGAAACTAAGACCTCCCCAAAAAACGATCCGTAAAATATATATGAAGTCGAATTACGACTGTTCAAAGACTATAAACCGTAAATAACCAAAAACTATCATCCGCGTTCTGAGGATCCGCTTCTTCTAATAATTTGCAGCCATGTCAGTATTGAGGCTTTAAAAAGAGGATGAAAGCCATACACAACCTGTGTATAATTGTACTCTGAAAATATGCCTTACCCCGCCGATTGGTCTATAATTTTGGTTATTTAAATTTTAATTTAGCCAGGGTAGCTGACCTTCCGCTTCCTCCAATAATTTGCAGACATATCAGTATTCTTGTTACCGCTGTTATCTCCGGGATGGCAACGATTAAAATAAAGTCATGAAAAACGCAATGTAGCATATACTCTTTTTTTTTTCGCCCTTGTTAAGAAAGCATTTTTTTGGCTATAGCCTGGCAGGCCAGAAAAAGAAAAAATCCGTATTTTTGTGTGATGTTTGACCGATACGCCGTAATGACCATGCATTAGTGTCGCAGCGACATGTCAGCCGGAAACGAAGACAAAAATCCATCTCCAGTGGAAAGCCAATTTTTCTGCAATTTTGAGAAGAAGCGGGTCCTGATGATACTTTTTGGTTGTTTTACGGGATATAGTCTTTGAACGGTCGTAATTCGACTTCATTCTCTATTTTCGAATTCCCCATAATACACTCTGTTTGCCCCCCAAATTTTGCATAAACCATTGTTTTTAAATGCTCCTGGGAGTATTGCATTTTCCCAAGAGCATTTTAAGGCAATAAGTTATGCAAAATTTGGGGGGCAAACAGAGTGTATTATGAGGGTCTCAATGGGGTTAATCGATAGGCGTAAAACGGCCAAAAATTTAGTCGATAGCCATAAAAATTGAAAAATTTTAACCGTTAGCCGTAAATAGAGTAAAAAAGAGTTAACCGTAAAAGAAACTGTTCCCTAGATTTGTTACTTTCAAGGGAGGTACTAAACTCATTTATGGTTGCGTTTTTTATTTCCCTGCTAGTGTGACTCCGCACGCACGTTAAGCGAAGCGCCTTTTAGGTGTTGACCAAGACCTAGGCTCCATTTCCCCCACTCTCTCGGGGAACTAATGTTTTCCATAGCGAAAGTGTGGCTTCTTGCTAGGGATTAATATTTGTGATTTGCTGGAGGTCGTGCCTTCGAAACACTAATGAGACAACACGCAGAGATGTCACTGTTTGTAAAACACGTTGCCGATAAACAGCATTTCCCTGTTTTTCTCTGACGCTACGGTAGACATTGCCAGGCCTAGTCCCTGTACGGCGTCTTCCCACGCAATCTCGGTCAAGGCATTTCGGTGGCGAACTCGCTCAGACCACGTGACCCGACACGCATTAGCCGCGCGGAATAATGAGGCCTACGGACAAGGCAACGGCAGACAGTCATTCTGTACAGTCCTTCGCTATCATTAAAAGCACTGAACATGGGAATTTTGTTATTGGCCGTTTTCACGCTAGAGCTAGAAATGGATTATCCGTCTGAGACTAGTCTGTGTAGAGTCACGCCCTCCCCACAGACACCCCTTCTCCAATTTTTTCTGAGGGGAGGGGGTGGCTGTACACAGGCTATCTGGAACGGATAATCCCGTCTTCAAACTGTCCGTCGAAATTGACGGATAAAGTCAGACGGATTGTTCATTCAAAATTAAAACTATTCCATTTTCAAATTAAGAAGTATTACCTATCTGACGCGAATTATCAAACGGATGACCCGTCTCACACGAATAATCCGTCTCTAGTGTGAAAACGGCCATTTCTGTTACAATGAATGTCGCGCCCCGGCCTTGAGTTGGGCGTTTGCGTGTCCGCTTTTGCTTTTTCACAAAGATTATTTTTAAATTGACTATTGACATTTCTATGTGTAAAATAATATTAGAAGTGAAATACTTTATAAAAAGTATGATCTATCAAATGTCAAAATTTTTCAAAATTTTCCCCGAGATGATCCGAAGACTTTTATTTTGATTTAAAGATACAAAAAATATAGGTTAATTAATATTTAACTTTTGAAACAAAAGAAGTTAATTTTTAACTTTTTGTTAACCGTAACTGAAAAAAATTAACCGATAGCCGTAAAAGAGCCCAAATTTTAGCCGATAACCGTAAAAGCCACCACCCCATTGAGACCCTCTATTATGGGGAATTCGAAAATAGTCAATATATATTTTACAGATTGATTTTTTGGGGGTCTTAGTTTTCGTAATAACGAAATTAAGAGGGGTCTTAGTTTTCGTAATAACGAAATTAAGAGGGGTCTTAGTTTTCGAAATTACGAAAACTAAGACCCCTAAATTTGCCAAGATTTGACCTAAATCTCGGTGGAAAGGATCGGCCAAAAGATAATTTGACAGATTATACCTATTTTGCTTACAATTTGACTTTATATTTCGACGGATTCGATTTTAGGGGTCTTAGTTCTACGTAATCTCGAAAACTAAGACGGGCCTTCGGTCTTAGTCTTAGTTTTCGTAACACTCGTGATAAGTATTGATGTGGAACTATGATGTTGTTATCTAAATGTATATATATTTATAATTGTTATCGTCTATTTTTCGTCTTTAGATTGATGTGTACAGTTTTGGCGTTCTCATCTGCGAGATTTGTTTCGGGAAACTACCAAATCCTGACAGGCGTGCCGAGCAAGTCGCCATGGTGAAAAACAAAGTGCTAAGAGCTCTTATTCGTAGATGTTTACAAGACAATCCTCAAGACAGACCTAGTATGGAAGACGTTATTGGTGAACTAGAAAAACTAGTTTAAGAACGGCTTGATAGGATCTGTTCTATATTTTGTTCTATTTTTAGTCAATGGTTTTTAACAGTAATACGGAGGGAGTGAACTTCCGAAGAGATAGGAGGATGCCCCCCGCCATCACCTCTACCACACCCCAGTCATGAGACGTACTGGTGACAAGTAAAACGTGACTAGCGTGGGGAAAAGGAACCGAGATATATTCTGCGTTGTCATTCTCACGCTACACGTAAAATATTCGGTGAAACAGACTCCATTTTATCTTTCGCGTCATTTTTTTTTGTAGTAAATTCAGCACGTCAGATTTGAAGAGTACGCTCATGTGTTTCTGGTATATACGTTATGGTTCAATCTTTTCTTTGGCTTAATTTTTATTTCCTTTGTTCTAAACTCATTATCATACATTACCATGCCTAAAAATAAAGGAAAAATAAAAATTGAATACGCTCCTGTTCTATAAATGTGCTGGAAGACAGTGTCATGAATGTGGTGAGCGCGTTAGACTCGCAATCCGGAGGTGGCATGTTTCATTCCGCATCCGGAGGTCCCGAGTCCCGACATAACCATTAGATAGATCGGTTTAATGGTTCTCCTCAGTTTAACTCCTCAATCCCGCTTGTAAATGACTATCTGGTTTGCGTCCTGCCAAGTTGGGTGAATTAAATCATTTGTTTCTGGTTCTTTGAGTGGGGTGCCTGTGAAGTAGCTGGGTAGCTAAGAGCACTTCCACTATAAATGCAACATTTACATTTAACCTTTTTTCATCAGTCAGTGTAGGTTCTGGCTGCAGGTACTGTTAGAAAATTAGAAGTAGAAACCGTCAAGGCCTTTGGCAGTCTAACGATTGAACTCCCATTGAACTGCCACTGATTTTCATTATCTGAACAAGTGCATAAGTCGCGATTCTTTTGGTCAGTGCCATATGCCTGGCGCATATTGGGTACAAGAATGGAACAATAGATAAAAGGCGGGAAAAGAGAGATGCCTGGCCCATTTTTATTCATGGAAACATTAAAATTTGTTTAATTAAATTAGGCAGCCGCCAAACCTTAGTCGTAGTATATAATACGTGACTTCAAAATCAAAATGGAAAGCACAAATTCGTTATCATGGGTGGGAGAGAGCAGGTCATATTTCTTCAGGTTATATTCCTTCGTATTTTTCACCTTATTGGAGCTTTTCGAAGTACAGATAGTTGGATTGAATAAAAAAATGTGTGTTGACAACGAATATCTAGTCTTATAATGGCAAATTTATGTTGGCATGTTACTTGAGACCTTACAGCTGTCGGGCCACCTATCGCGTAAGTTATAAGCTACTACAGATGTACTTTATTTCGAGCTATTATCTGACGCATGAACACAATTTCATCACATTCGATATCGATACCACGTGCGCGGTCGATTGGAAATTCAGGATGTGCGACGAGCATCGACGGGATCGAGGTTAGTTAATATCTATACGTTTATTTTTTAAAATATACCTTTATTCCCGTTGACTATGAGGAAAATATGTTATGGTTCAGTAAAAATTATTAAACAGACAATCTTGTCGCATACCCGGTCTGCACCAGAGTGGTCTTATTCGGGGGTGAGGGTTATGGGGTGATGGGCAAGGGGTAGGAGGTGAGGGGTAGAGGTTTGGGGATAGTGTACTCGGTAGTTGGCGTAAACATTAAAAGGGAAATGGTCTTATCGCCAAATGATGAAGAAGTAGCTAATTCTTCTAAAAAAACATACCCAATTCAACACTAGAGTGCATACCCTATTTCAGACCAAAATGGTCGAAATTGATACCCTATTTCAGACCAAAACGGCCGGAAAACCATACCCTTTGGCGCCGCACATACTCATATAGCCTATGTAAGAGACTCCCCCCCCCCACTCCCCGGGCGAAAAACGCGTTGCAGATTATGAGTCTCACGCTTACGCAAGCGAGACTAATGGCGTCAATTCTACAGCATAATTGTCAGAAAACTGGACAGTTAGCCGAGAAGACCTGGGGACGAGGTTGTGTTGTTTTGCTGTGAATGATATTTTGATACTTAGCCTTATCCAATAATTGTTTGTTATTTCTACATTTAAATTTCTGTTGTCTTTTAACGGTTTCTTCTGAAGATGGATATGTTGGAACATACCAAATCGCAGTTTGATCTTTTCCTGCTTTTTAAGACATCACGAGAGAGGCATAAGGCTGGCGTGACCCAGGTGCTTAGAACTCTGGGGAAAATAGTTTTTATTAACTCAGTCTGAGAAGTAATATAACGTGGGGAGTAAAGCTGTTTTATCGGTGTTCACCCCATCATTTTAAGCTTCACGTCAAGCTTACTCGTTATGGGTAGAATTTGAAGTTTTACTGAGTGCAATCTTTGTCAGTTTGATGTGGCTGGAAAGGCGGAAGTGAGTTCAGCACCGTACGTACTGAGATGATCGAGTTGTTTAGAATCTAGAAGTGAAAAGGAAACTGCTTTTACATCCCAGCTCACTGTTTAGAAAACGAGGTAAGTTTGTCTCAAAGAGAATGTGATCACAAAAAATCTATGTTGTTGGTATGAATTTAGCATCAGTTCTTTACATATGTCATCTTACGTTACATTTAATCTTATTCTAGAACAGAAAAGGGAAGGAGAAGAATTTTTCGATTTTGGATTTGTTTCACCCCAATGTAGCTTGTAAGAGGGAGCAGTGGGGTACATATGTCCTCTTTTACAACTCATCATATTCGAGGCCGCAGTTTCAATGAAATATTGAACATCAGTACTTTTTAAATTTTTAGAGAATACCACAGGTAGCCCAAGCTCACTGTGAGAGCCCTGAACAACATTATACTACTCAGCTAATTAATTATTCATACAGCAAGGAAATTATAAGACATTGTATGGAGAAATATTCTTTGCTCACTAAATTAGCAAAATGTACATTGAATATCGCTTTGAAGCTTACCTTTAGCGTCCTCTTGTTTATCTTTGAATTCTGACTGCATTTCAGACCTCCCAGGCACTGTTTAAGGCCTTTTTTGGAGCGACAGTTTTTCACTCAGATGACAGTGGAGAGAAGAGAAGAAAAGGTTGGCAAACCTCTCCTGACCGGCTCCGCTCTCGGCGGCGATAAATTCCGTGACATTTGCGACATGGAGACAATTCCGCCAGAAACAGATGTCCTGATAAATAACGCACATTTTCCATCATTCACATCGCCAAAATTCCCATTTCGGCTAAGCTAAATGCTCCAGTTGTCCTTTGACGGTTGAACAATTTGACCCTGCCAGCCCGCGTCGGTTTGAAATTGTCGACTTGATGGTTGGAGTCCGTTGCGGGTCTGCTCTCGACTCGCCTAACCTCAGTCGTGTATTGCCCACTTCGTTGGCGATTTAGGACCTTCGAAATGGGAATTTTGGCGATGTGAATGATGGAAAATGTGCGCTATTTTTGATAGAGGATTTCAACACAGTCTACACTATTGAAACCATTTTACAGCTTAAGCCTGAAATGCAGCCATTTATGGGCAGAAAAAAAGTAAAGGATCTGCTCAGGTTATTCCTTTCGGCCCAGGGTAATTATTTTGTGTGTTTGGAGTTCTCTTTTCATGACAGCAGTTACTACAGTGCCTTCAGTTTGAGTCGTTTTGTTTTGTTGCAAACAAAGGGGGAGAAATTATAAATGTTTTATTCCAAAAACAACTGAAACAAGAGTATGGTTTGAAAAAGATTAGCTAAGGTCAGAAAATAAATGTTCAAGTTTGTATGTTTTGACAAGGACTACATCTGGCTAAATATGCTTCAAAGAGAATTTATAAAATTTAAAAAATGATGACATCTATTTTTGCCTTTCCTTTGGCCACTGTGATCAGTTTTTGCCATATATATAGTTGTATGTAATGTTTTACACCTTTGGACATCAACCTGCCAGGTTTAATAGTTTGTGTCTGTGTAAAAATGTAGTTTACTGTTATTGAAATCAAAGTAGACCCTCTCAACTTAAAAATCCCTTGTAGTAGTGGATATTGAAAACACCATAGGATGCCTTGGAAAAAAAATGTAAAATGATTATTAAGATAATATTATTTGCAGTCAACAATAACAGTTAGAAACTTGTGTTGAGGCTGGAAAAAATATTTTTCAGAGACCATAAACCTTCACTGACTCTGCTGTTACAACAAGTGGTAAAAGAGAATTAAAATTTGAGATCACCTCCCTGGGCTTACACTGAAAGAGAGTATGGGTAGTAGGACACATTGTGCATTTCCCTACCCTTTTTAAGCCAAGAGACCTTATTTTATAATCCTGATTAATTTCCTTTAGCATACAGAATTAAGGTAGCTTTTAAACTTAGAAACATGGAAAAACTTGGGGGAAAAATGGTAGTACCAATAGACTGTACTCTATAGACCCCTTCTTCTTCAACCTTCACAACCCAAACAGACACCTTGTTCAAAACTCTAAAGGGTGAAATGGTCACCACCCTAAATCAGCAGCAAATACGCATCTAGGCCAAATAAGCCAAGGGTAGTATCATAGAAAGAACTGCTGAGAGGATAGGGCTCAAGCCCAACAATAACTTATTTTGATGGTTGATAAAAAAATAACTTACACAAACAATAAACTTAAGTTGTATATTTTTCAAGTCTCTTCTGATTCTCTTTTTAAACTTTGCAAAACATTCAGTTTTCTTTTTCCTGTTTCTTGTACTTCAGTCCTTTGAGGGATTTTCTCAATGCATACTCTTTCCTGATGTACTCACTCTTATTAGCAACTGAATTAGCCTCTTGTTCTTACACTAAACTAGTATAATCATTTCAAGTATAATTCATAAATAAAGGGTAATTTTTGTACCAACAATTTCAAGGAGATACTTGAAACTGAAGTCACTATAAAATACAAAACTACTCAATACGGTATTGCTGTTGGAAGTTTATTGATTATCATTCCAATGACATTCCAGTGAAGGATTTGAAGGTTCAATAAACCCCTCCCAGCCTTCTGATATTAAAAATAGCTTATACTGACAGAAC